GGGAGCTTTCTGTATAATATTGGTGACGCTGAGCACGTTTCCAAGGCTACCGTCTGTCGGGCAGTCAGGAATGTTACAGTTGCACTGAAACGTCTCCTGTACTCGTCTGTGGTGTTCCCCGGTCATAGACCCACACGATTTATCAAAGAGGGATTCCACAAAATTGCAGGTATCAGGATGAACGAAACTTAATTCATGATGTGGTGATATTTGAACTACTACTTAAATTTTACATTTATTCCCACGGTTCCCAGGCGTGATTGGCTGTATAGATGGCACTCACATTCCAATCATTGCTCCTTCAGTAAATGAAGGAGACTATGTGAACAGGAAGTCTTTCCACAGCATTAATGTACAGGTACATAGTTCCCTGTAGCATTTCAAACTAACAAATTATTTCATTATAGTAATGGATGCTAATTTGTGTTCTCTGCACTGTGAAGATCATATGTGATGCTGCCAACATTATCAAAAATGTGGAAGCCAACTGCTCAGCCTCTGTGAGTGGTGGTGGTGGAGGACCCCCACCTGTTTTTCGGGCCTCCGCTTTTTTTCTGTTGGCTATAACGGGTCACATTTGAGCATACAGAGTAAACAAATATGTACTTGTAATGTGCTCAGATAATTTCAATAAGTGCTTACAGAGGGGAAATTAATTCAATCCAATTCAATTCAATTTTATTTATATAGCGCCAAATCACAACAAAAGTCGCCTCAAGGCGCTTCATAGATACAGAGAAAAACCCAACAATCATATGACCCCCTATGAGCAAGCACTTTGGCGACAGTGGGAAGGAAAAACTCCCTTTTAACAGGAAGAAACCTCCGGCAGAACCAGGCTCAGGGAGGGGCGGGGCCATTTGCTGCGAACGGTTGGGGTGAGAGACAGGATAAAAGACATGCTGTGGAAGAGAGACAGAGGTTAATAACAGATATGATTCAATGCAGAGAGGTCTATTAATACATAGTGAGTGAGAAAGGTGACTGGAAAGGAAAAACTCAATGCATCATGGGAATCCCCCGGCAGCCTAAGTCTATTGCAGCATAACTAAGGGAGGATTCAGGATCACCTGGTCCAGCCCTAACTATATGCTTTAGCAAAAAGGAAAGTTTTAAGCCTAATCTTGAAAGTAGAGATAGTGTCTGTCTCCCGAATCCAAACTGGAAGCTGGTTCCACAGAAGAGGGGCCTGAAAACTGAAGGCTCTCCCTCCCATTCTACTTTTAAATATTCTAGGAACAACAAGTAGGCCTGCAGAGCGAGAGCGAAGTGCTCTAATAGGGTGGTCATTAAGATAAGATGGGGCCTGATTATTTAAGACCTTGTATGTGAGGAGCAGGATTTTGAATTCAATTCTGGATTTAACAGAATTGAATTTTTTGTCCCTCTGTGGGGGGATTCACCCACTAGGTTTATATCTGGGACTCTCCACCATTTGACCTTAGAACTGAAGAAGCTTCTCGGATGAGAGGTGAAACGTCTTCAAGTAACTTAAAGAAGTCCAGACGCTTTTCTTTCCAAGCTCCTTAGACCGGCATATTTACATTATTTGAACAGTATGAATGATTTGCTTTGGTACCTTGTCGAACTTAAGCTCTCCTCTGTCTGCCTGTCTGCATTTCTCCTACAACAAACTCCTGCACAAGCTGATATCCTCGTGTCATGCTGTTCCCACATCATCATAATAAATGTTGTTCCAGGTTCAACATTGCAAGTGACCAATCACATTGTTATCACTCATACTTTTGTGACTTCGGAAAAAAAAAACCACTTTAAAAAATAATCTACTTAACTTGTGAGAAACCGCCTCTGCCTGCCGATCCAGTTACTCACCCCCTCCCTTCCTGTGCTGAATCATAGCATGAACGAATCACTCACTCACCCCCTCCCTCCTGGCTCACAGTTTCTTCTTCTTCTTCCTGGTTAGCAACCAATGTTAAGATGCCTTACCGCCCCCTGGTTCACAGCTCAGTGGACATTTAGATGAGAAAATATGTCTTGATGCATTCTCAATCATCCAGGAAAGTAAATCTCCAAAAGTTGATTCTGTTCATCTGGAGTAGCGTTTTGTGGGAGAAACGTTTCGTCACTCATCCAATCACTTCAGTCTCAGCTGACTGCAGGTTTCAATCTTATAAACAGTACATTTGCATTAATGACTGAAACCAGCCCACTGAAGGAACAATGGGCTGGGAGGTCAGTTCCTTAATCTTAATTATGCAAATTTTTATGACCATTGATCAACAACCACTGACCAAAACCCACTGATCAAAGGCCATGAATACCATTCACAGAGAGTTGAGGAATGGCTGCCTTTTACCCACTATGAAGTGGTTTGATTACATTACTTGCTGTACTTCTCTTTATGCAGCTGTGTTGCATATTCTTGCTTCTGTATTTCAGTCTCAGTGTTATAAAAAAAGTACAAAGGTTTATTTTCAGGTACTGCTCAGCTTTGAAAGTCTTTGTAGCGGGGCGTGGCTTGCGGTGCCGTGCAGGGAAGGTGAACGCACCTGCACGGCATCCACTAGGGCTGTGCGATATGACCAAAATCTCATATCCCGATATAAAACATCTATCATCTGATAACGATATAAATCACAAAAATGTAACATTTTCTATAAATTTTGTGAATCTCGGGTTGCTGAAGTGTTTCCAGCTGGGCGTCGTGTACCTGGAGTCGAGTGTTTTAACCGATGCATGAATTTACACATTTTTAGACATAGGTTATATCGGCTGCTGTTTCCTTTGTGAGTATTTATTACACGGCGTGCTGCGGGGAAAGCCTGTTCTAACGTTTGAGTCTAAGGTTTATTTTTTAGCACCTGACTGCTCCTGTTTGCTTCTCATCCATAAATACTCTGCATACTTTTTCATGTGATTCCATTTATTACGAAGTCTAAACAGGATCTTGAGCTTTATTGTGAAAGGTTTATGTGGAAAAGAAACAAGCGGACATGCGATGGTTTTACCGTGGTTGTTGCTAACGACAACGCATAAAAACAAGAGCTTGTCTATCTGTAGTATGGTTATATTAAATATAAGAGAAATAGAGAACTTTAATAAATTAATATAGCCACTACAGTGACCATCAAAATGATGAGAAAATATTGCCGTAAACAGTTTATTTTGCGACACCACAAAACAAACGATAGCGTAAAATGAAACGATAGACGTTTTTATATCATCATATATCTATCGTTATATCGAACACCCCTAGCATCCACAATCATGCCCTGCCGACTTAAACATGGGTCCTGCAGTGGGGGGGTTGTTGTCAGTGTGTGTGGCTGGCAGCGAGAGAGAGCTGCAGCTAACAGTGTGTGAACAACCAACCATTAATAAAGAGATGCTGCAAAGCATGAACGGTCTGCTGTGGGTTTGTTACAGTCTTTTTATGCCCACTTTCACACATACACCGTTTTACTTCCTCCGCTGCACTTCCACATTAGTTTCCTATTTATGCCTCACCCGAGTGAAGTTGCCCCCCCACCTTCTTCAAAACAAACAAAATTGATGTCAAACGTTTGTGCAGCAAAAATGTCATTTGTGCTGCTTTGTTTTTAAGATGTTAATAAAAGTTTCTAGAGGTCTTCCAAGGTCAACCAGCCCCTTTCTTTACCGTGAAAAGGTTGTGAAACATAAACCAGAATTCGGATATTTTTTTTATCATAATCACACTCTTTAACCCTTTGAAACCTGAAACATGAAATAACTGCCAGAAATCTTTCATTTTTTTGATAATAGAGTGTTTGTTGAACCTTTAGACAAAATCTATAAGAATATATCAAATTTTAATATATTTATATATATATCTGTATCACATTTGCTACATAAGCCATATTTTTGCAATTTAGTCATTAAAAATGTATGATCTAATTTAAATCATTTGTTGAGGGCAAAAAAAAGTCATACTGATGATGTAGAAGTCTCAAAAACTCACAAAAAAACCACGCCGGGCTTTAAAGGGTTAAAGTAAAAAACTAGGTTAACTTATAATAGTTAACCTAAACTATGCATTCTGTCGGAGAAACTTTATTTGCAAAATACAAAACTATCAGAATAATGTGGGCAAACTGGATACATGGACCTGTCAAGCCTCTCAAGTTTAATACAATAACTCCAAAATAATAGCTAGTTTATCATAAACCAGCACAAACATAGCAGTTGACTGACAGAAATTTTGTTAATGTGGGGCGGTGGCTGGTTGACCTTTTGACCTTTAATCTTTCATTAATATCTTTAAAACAAAAGCAGCACAAACGTTTGACATCAATTTTGTTTGATTGATTGACCTTTAGACTGAATGCCTTATATGGTTCACATTCAGAAAACAGACACATTACAACACACTGACATTAACATTTTAAAGAGAACAGTATAGTTGTTGCCTGCAGCAAGGTCAAGTGTACAGAAAACTGACTGACTGATGCTTGGGTATAAAAGGATCCAGATTCTGATCCAGCCCTGTGTACAACAGTGCATTGGAGATGAACCTGCCTGAACCTGCCTGGGTATCATTGACTTGCTGAGATTTTATCAGTGTGTAACAGAGCTGTGGGACGAGCCTTTTTAAGGTCGAATGTGTGTAAGAGTGGGTGGGGTTTACTGTGACACAACAACAAACCTATTTAAGCACAGCTGACCACACGGTGACTCTCCGTGGTATCATTCTGTATGCTCAGTGTGGGGTTTTTTTTTTTTTTTTATCAATGCACTCATTTGATAAATGCATGGTTACAGCTGTCCTCTTATCAGACACTATGTGTGTCTGTTAAAGCAACAGAGTGCAAGTATATGAGTTGTGTAGAAATCGTCTGTAAACTGTAGGTACAGCAAATGTCTATTTTCTCTAAACAACTGAGGTGTGTAAAACTGGTTTGGTGGGCCAATTTCAGTAGAAAAGGCGTTCCCATAGCCTCTGGAAATGTTGGAACCTTTCATTGGTAAAGTAAACAGGGGGCGGAGAAAACAAAGGTGTGGCTCCCTTACAGGGAAAAGTAAGTCATAAGTTCATTCCTTGTCTTCTCTTTACAGCAAAATTCCTAAAGCGCCAGCAAGAACTTGTCAGTGGAATTACATCGTCTTTTTTTCTCCTGTTATCTGGAGAAGAAAAAAAATCCACATTTGTAGACGAAGATGAAACAAAGGTCTGTACGCTACTTAAGTGCTATTTTCTGTTTTCATGTGCATAATCTCAATGGCTTTTCTCTCCTCTTAGGCAGGAAATGGCGGATGATCAGAGCAGAAGTTGGTTTAGGATATCCAGGACTCGGTATTTCGCCATTATTCTGGTAATTGGGGGTGTGTTCTTTATTTACAGCATAAGGGAAATAACCCCAGACTGGAACCCCAAAAAGTGGATGGAAAATCAGTCGTCAAACTTGTGGACTATTTTAGAACGGCAGAAACAAAAAATAATCTCTCTCCACTCTGTGGTTAACGACAGCTCATCAACACATCCTCGAACTAATAATATGACATCGGCACCAGAAGTGAAGACAGAAACTGCAGCGGTCGCTCCTCATGTTTCTCCTGGACCATATTTAGTCGAATACCCTTATGAGTACCACTTCATCATAAATGAGCCACAAAAGTGTGAGCGGGAAAAACCTTTTGTGGTTCTGATGGTTCCCGTAGCACCAAACAATAGGCGAGATCGTGACATCATCCGCAGCACCTGGGGGAACGACAGGGTTGTGCAGGGCAAAGTGGTGACGCTCTTCTTTTTACTGGGGCTAGAGACGGGGCCAGGAGCAGAGCAGGTCCAACAGCAGATGCTTCAGGAGAGCAACAAGTATCACGACCTGATCCAGAGCAACTTTGTGGACTGCTACAAGAATCTCACCATTAAGACCATGGTAATTCTGGAGTGGCTGACTGCGCACTGCTCCGGTGCTTCTTATGCCATGAAGATTGACTCAGACATGTTTCTGAATGTGCACAATCTTGTCAATATGCTCTTGAATGCTCAAAAAACCAACTACATGACTGGACTTGTGACGGGATGGGGTACAGTAGTGAGAGATCCAAGCTCTAAGTGGTACGTACCATCTGACATTTATGCACCAGCTTTCTACCCTGTCTATGCTCTGGGCCTGGGCTACATTATGTCTTTAGACCTCCCTAAAAAGCTCACTGAGGCATCCAGACATGTTAAAGCACTTTACATTGAGGATGTGTATTTAGGGATGTTAATGCACCACCTGGGCATCTCTCCCACTTACCCCCCAAGCGGTGATTACTTCCATGTTTTTCCTTTGGCATATAACCGATGTCACTTCTCCCGTATAGTAGCCACCACAACTCATCCATTCACTAACCGTGTGGACATTTGGAAAGATTTAAAAAAACCAGGCCCCTGCTGATCTAAGAGAACATAAACAAAGGCTGTATGTTGGAAAATTTTATACTTCCTTTTTTAACTTCCCCCATCTTAAATGTCATTAAAACCTAACCGATGTTGTGCCACTCCATAACTACACACTGTTTTATGCATGAAATACAGTTTATTATTTGTACCATCCGTGTAGCTGACATCTCAGCACAAGTTTTCTATAGATAAAAAAAATACTGAAAACATGAAGCTAGCAAAAGAGAAAAAAAGAAGAAAAAGCAGACACTGATATTTCCATGATAACAATGTCGATGTTAACAGGATCAATGTAGGAAAAAAAGACTCTACAGTCTAATGGACTTTAGTTAATGTGACTTTTGTCTCTTATTTGGTAAATAAGTTACATTATAAATACTCATGGAGAGACTCAGCACTAACCTGCACTGTGTAAAGTTTGTAAAGTGAATCATTGCAATTATCTATATTATTATCGTATATGTGTTATAAACACAATATTGCTGATTTATTTTAAAATATCACAGTACTAAAGTTATTGAAAAATACTATTAAACATTAATAGGAAGTTTTTTAAGATGACTCTGTGTGTGTATATGTGTGTGTGTGTGTGTGTGTATATATATATATATATATATATATATATATATATATATATATATATATATATATATATATATATATATATATATATATATAAGTATGACTTTGTGCATAATTGTGAGACTCCCTCTTTATAAATTACAAGTTCTGTCAGATCAGGCAGTCACATCTGTTCGTACGATGTTATGAAGCCTGAGCATGTTATCGAGTTACAGACCAACCTTTGTGGCTTCACATTGTATTAAAGGGACATTTTGTAACAGGTCAATATATGATATGATTTGTAGCTAAGAAGATGAAAACACATGATCACAACAAATCACAAGAAAACTATAATAAGCATTAACTGTTGACGTTTGCTGGGCATTCTGCTGTGGAGAAAATGAGTTCAGACATGAATTTCCTCATGTTGCATGTAGAACTGCACTGAAAAAAAAGCAGTTGTATTAGCATGAAAAACATGCACATCTCATGTTTATTTGACACCACTTAGCTACCTAATGTTAAACCAACATAATTATGCAATTTGAATACTAATTTCTACTATTATATCTGTTAAACTGGTATTTAACATGTTTGCAATTTATGAGATCTTATTAATCTGAAACAACACTGACATATTTGACATTTGGAAATCGAATTTCCCAGAGGAACCCACCCGAGGGATTAATAAAGTTCTATCTAATCTAATCTAATCTAATCTATTACATGCATTTTGTAAATCCTTATATATCCTTATATTTACTAAAAACATCTAAGATATAAATCTTAAACATTTTTTTAATTTTTTTTAATTTAACCTTTATTTAACCAGGAATGTCCCGTTGAGATCAAAAACCTCTTTTTCAAGGGAGTCCAGCCCAAAACCAAAAGAAACGAAGCACACCAAAACACAGGAAAAAAAACAGAGTCCAAAACAGAAGAGTTCAGGGGGCCGACAGCACAGGAGTCCAAAACAGTTCGGGGGGCCGGCCAGGGGGCCAACAGCACAGGAGTCCAAAACAGTTCGGGGGGCCGGCCAGGGGGCCGACAGCACAGGAGTCCAAAACAGTTCGGGGGGCCGACCGTGCGGACGGCAACGGCGGTGACGTGGATACAGTTCGGGAGGCCGGCCGTGCGGACGGCAACGGCGGCCACTCAGGCGATGGCGGTCCGGGGGCCGGCCGTGCGGAAGGCAGCGGCGGCCACTCAGGCGATGGCGGTCCGGGGGCCGGCCGTGCGGAAGGCAACGGCGGCCACTCAGGCGATGGCGATCAGGGGGCTGGCCGCGCGGAAGGCAGCGGCGGCGCCCAAGTGTCAGGCGCACCGGCCGAGGCTTGGAGGGCACAGGACCAGGCGACGCTGAAGCAGAGGCAGGACCAGGCGTAACAGAAGCACAGGCAGAGGCAGGACCAGGCGTAACAGAAGCACAGGCAGAGGCCGGACCAGACGAGGACGAAGACGAAGACTCGGATGAGGCCGGACCAGACGAGGCTGCAGCTGGCGATGAGGCTGCAGCTGGCGATGAGGCTGCAGCTGGCGATGAGGCTGCAGCAGACGAAGGCTCTGAGGCTGCAGCAGACGAAGGCTCTGAGGCTGCAGCTGACGAAGGCTCTGAGGCTGCAGCTGACGAAGGCTCTGAGGCTGCAGCTGACGAAGGCTCTGAGGCTGCAGTAGACGAAGCACAGGCTGGAGCTGCAGCTGACGAAGGCTCTGAGGCTGCAGCAGACGAAGCACAGGCTGGAGCTGCAGCTGACGAAGCACAGGCTGGAGCTGCAGCTGACGAAGCACAGGCTGGAGCTGGCGTAGCAGATGGTGGCTGGATGGGCTCCTCGGGCCCTCCAGCTGATGTGGCATGGTGCTGGTGCGGTTCTCCTGAACCCCCAGCTGACGAGGAAGGTTGCTGAACGGGCCCCTTGGACCCTCCAGCGGAGACAGGAGGCTGAACGGGCCCCTCGGACCCTCCAGCCGACGAGGCATGAGGCTGGTGTGGTTCTCCGGAACCACCAGCTGACGAGGAAGGCTGCTGGACGGGCTCCTCGGGCCCCCCAGCTGAAACAGGAGACAAAGGCCGGAGCGGTCCCTCGGACCCTCCAGCGGAAACAGGAAACAAAGGCCGGAGCGGTCCGTCGGACCCTCCAGCGGAGACAAGAGACGAAGGCCGGAGCGGTCCCTCGGGTGGCTGCTTAAACTCCAGGGGTCCAGAATCAGCTGAGGACTGGGACCTAGCCTCTGGGGAAGCCCTGGAGCGGCAAACTGTGCCAAAGGCGGCTGAACTACAAAAAGCACCTTGAGGTAAAATTATACTTTCTCCCTGCATGGAGTGAGTATGTGAGACCACTATTACTGGAGCCAGAGTTACGGGTAGCGGGGGCACTGGAGCTACTGGGGCCTGCGCTACAGGCGGCACTGGAGCTACTGGGGCCTGCGCTACAGGCGGCACTGGAGACTGAGCTGAGGGCGGCACTGGAGACTGAGCTGAGGGCGGCACTGGAGACTGAGCTGAGGGTGGCACTGGAGACTGAGCTGAGGGTGGCACTGGAGACTGAGCTGAGGGTGGCACTGGCTGCGGGGGAGCTAACTGGGCTGAGAGTGGCTGCGCGGGAGCTAACTGGGCTGAGAGTGGCTGCGCGGGAGCTAACTGGGCTGAGAGTGGCTGCGGGGGAGGTGATATGCTGTTCACAAAGTCATCTGCCGCACAGAACACCGCCCCTGAATGAACAGTCATACAGTCCGCAAATGGAAAACAGTCCTCACTCACCACAGCCGGCGAATTAGAAGTCCGAACGTCCAGCTGTGGGGTGGCGCGCTTGCGGCGCGATCGGCGTCTCCTCCCCGCAGACGGCTCCGACGGGCCGGGCAAGATCACATCCGGCGAGTCGGGCAGCGAGGCAGGAGTGGCTGAGAGAAGGTGCGGTGTGAGCCGGAGAAAAGCCTGCATGGTCGGAGGAAGCGAGTCCAATAGCCATGGCAGGCCGGAAAAGAGCCGTTGGAGCCGGTCTTCTGCTGCGCGGCGAAGCTCTTCCGGGGGATGTTCCAGCCATAGGCTGAGAAGGATCTCCACATTGTATGTGATGTCGTCCTGGAGCTCCTCGGACGGATTTACTGCCGCTGGGTCCATGGTGGCTGGTTCGTTCTGTCACGGTTTGCGGGGGCAAGCCGTGTGGAATATATATAGGACCAAAAGGCGGCAGCTCTGGTGCAGGTGAGTGTTTATTAACAACAAAAATGCAAACAACAAAGGCGCTAGGAACATGAAACTGAAACCTAAACTGGGTAAACTAACAACACAAACCAAGAATGACGGTGCAGGGAGGTCCGGGGAAATACATACAGGGAGACCGAGGGGAAACAACACAGACGAACCAGCAACTACTATGACAGAAGACACAACTTAAATACACTCAGAGAACACAGGGGGATTACATACAGGTGGGGACACAGCTGGGAGTAATTAACATGACGAGACTAGGGAGGCAAACTGAAAACACTCACATAAGACACAGACCTTCACAATAAAACAGGAACTTACACATGAAAGGACACAAACTAAGAAACGCGGACTAGATACAGGAACACACGGGCAGAACAGAGTAAACACTAACCAGAGGAAGAACAGAACCAAAATCGCGAAGAGAAAACACAAAACGCTGGGTCAAAAGGACCCAGGATCATGACAGAGGCAGCACATTTCAAAACAAATACATACGAACAAACAAAGTTAAAATTACACAAAACAATTACACATTATTGAGGCAGTCTGTAGGCCTTTGAGTTTAGTTTTTAAAAACATTTAAAGACATTATAAAAACAGTAAGTACCAAGTATCTATGTTTAAATACAATCCTAAAATAAGCAGCTAGAGAAGCCAGATTTTGGTCCTTGGTTCCTTTGTTGATTATGTTAGTTCCCTTTTTTGCCAACGCTCTCCTCGTCTTTGTCTTTTGTCTTCCGTGTGAAGTCCATCTGTCATTGTGTGTCTTTCCTGCCTGTCTGCATTGATGGTCTCGTGTTTCATGTGCATTCAATACTTATTTTATCTGCCGTATTTGTACTGTCTCGGTCTCCCTTTACCTTTTGTCAGAGCCTGTTCTACCAGAGGTTTCTTCCAGTTAAAAGGAAGTTTTTGCTTCTCACTGCCAGGCGCTTGGTAATTTTAGGCCATTTTATTGATAGGGTTTTCTTACAAAGTAAAGGAAATACTTTGTATCAATAGGTAACTTCACATCTGAGCAGACAAGTATCACATGTGGAGTTCCCCAAGGTTCCATCTTGGGACCCCTTCTGTTTAACATTTACATGCTCCCACTGGCACAGATTATAAAGAACAACAAAATAAACTACCACAGCTATGCAGATGACACACAAATATATATCACAATGTCACCAGGAGACCGAGGCCCTGTACAGGCTCTTGGTAAATGCATTGAGGAAATTAATGACTGGTTGTGCCACAATTTTCTCCAGCTAAACAAAAACAAAACTGAGGTAATAGTCTTTGGCGCCAAAGAAAAACGATTACAGGTCACCAGAGAACTTCAATCTATACACCTAAAAACCACAAACCAGGCGAGAAATTTGGGTGTAGTGATGGATGCAGACCTAAACTTAGAAAAACACATTAAGACAATAACAAAGTCAGCTTACTATCACCTCAAGAATATATCAAGGATAAAAGATCTGATGTCTCAACAGGACCTGGAAAAACTAGTCCATGCATTCATCTTTAGTAGGCTTGATTACTGTAACAGCATCTTTACAGGTCTACCTAAAAAAATCAGTCAGACAACTACAGCTCATTCAGAACTCTGCTGCTCGAGTCCTCACTAAGACCAAAAAAGTGGACCACATCAGTCCAGCTCTGAGGTCCTTACACTGGCTGCCTGTCCGTCAGAGGATAGACTTTAAAGTTCTGATGCTGGTCTATAAAGCTCTGAATGGTTTAGGACCAAAATACATCAGTGACCTCCTGACCCAGTATGAACCTTCCAGATC